GCGCAGAACCTTGCGAGAACAGTGAGTTCATGGAACCGGATGGCCTCTTGATCTGTGTGGGAGAATATAACCGACTTCCTTAGTTAATGGAACTGCCCGCAAATATGATGACACCTACTGTACGTTCATCTTTGAGCTCTCCAAGTGATTGAATTCATATCACTATGTTGCAAGGCATTCTGCGAGCGTGTCCAAGCAGAATTTAGCGGTATCCCCAACGTGGAGGTTATTGTTCGCGATGAAGGTTAGATATTCTTTAGTTTTTGAAGTTCTAATATATGTATTAATGTCTTGACAGCTTGGGCGGCTGAAAAGGGCATGGTACATATTTTACACTTGATGCATGTTCAATATTGACGTGCTCTCATGTAGCGCACTTTCCTCTCGGTAACTCAGGGGACTGATCAGCCAGCGAAGTTCCTCGAGATGTAAGCACACCTTGTCCTCTTTTTCTGCACTATCGTTTACACTTTGATGGTTTCAAAAGCCACTACAAGGGTGCCCCTTCAAAAGACGCACAACCTCTTGCTTTCGTGGGCAAGGGCATCACTTTCGACAGTGGAGGAATCAGCTTGAAACCTTCAGCAGTAAGACCATCGCTCTTCAACTGGTTGGTCTTCCGCTTACCGTACCTAACTGGATACAGGGCATGAAGCTGATGCGCGGCGACATGGGTATAGTCTATTGAACTGAGTTTGAGAGTGGTCACTAACTTTGAATTGCAGGTGGGGCAGCTACAGTCGTATCGTCTCTACTCGCCATCGCTCAGCTCCAACTCCCGTATGTTGATGTCCTCTTCGATCTACCCTCACTTTTATTTATTCTCGTTGCAGAATCAATGTTTTCGCCGTCACTCCGCTTTGCGAGAACTTGCCCGGTCCCAAAGCTACCAAGCCAGGTGATGTGTAAGACTTGGAGCACGATATTCGTCATGTCTTGGATTGACCATTTGTCAGAATATACGCTATGAACGGCAAATCCGTCGAGGTCGATAACACGGATGCTGAAGGTCGCCTTGTTCTAGCTGGTGAGCACTCTTACTAACTACTAACGTCGTGATGAATACTCACTTTCTCAAAGATGCGTTGTACTACGCATCAACTGACTTCAAGCCGCACACAATCATCGACGTTGCCACTCTCACCGGGTATATATTGATTGTTCACACTTCTCAGCTTGAATTCATTATTGAATAGGGCTATGGATGTCGCGCTGGGTGAGATCTACACCGGTGTTTTCACGGTTCGTCATCTCATCACTACCCACCGACACGCCGTGAACTAAACTCTTGCATTAGACCTCCGATGCCCTTTGGGAGCGATTGAGTGTTGCCGGAGAGAACGAGTACGACCGGTTTTGGCGCATGCCCCTCGACGAAGATTATGGACCACAAATCTATTCCTCTAACGCTGACTTGTGCAACGTCGGTCGCCTATTCTTCACGTTAGCTTTGCTCGAACTTGACATTGTCTTCTGTTTTTTTTAGACTGGCGGGAAACCAGCAGGCTCATGTACCGCTGCACTGTTCCTCAAGGCGTTCGTAGATGGTATTGAGGCCAAGGATGGACAAGAACCCTCTGTCCGATGGGCTCACCTTGACATTGCTGGAACTATGGAGGTCAGAATTTGCCGCTTATGAAATCAAATGCAGGACGTCTGCCATGAGCATAAGTGCGATCTAAGCAATGGCTTAGTTCGCAACGCGCCCTTTATCATGACTGCCTCTGTTTAGTTCCGTTCGCTGATAATTTCATTTCAGTTCACGCGGCCAATACCATATCAAGAGAAAGGAATGACTGGGCGTCCTGTCCGGTAAGTCGTTTTCAACAAATTTTATACATTTATTTAATATCATCGTTTAGTGCATTGGTCGAATTTGTCAGACGTCTCTCGAGCTAAGGATGAGATGTGTAAAGACGCGTATTGCACACCATGCTAGCGCACCATTTTGCGCGTTTGCAAAACGTCAATGAACTTAACAGTGAAATCTGTGTGCAGTAGAATATCTGATCAAATGATTACTTGATTTGTGTGGACTAAATGTCCGACGTTTATGGGACTATGCCTGAATCACCAGTGTAATGAACGGCATGGTCCCGTACTACGTAGACGATACTACTGTCAGTGCGCTCAAAGTATTTCAGCAATGCAACACACCGATGTGCTGTGGTACTCATCGGAGACCGATTGATCGAAGGAACTCGAGTAGCAGGCAAGCATTGTTCCTGGGCGCCAGCTATTGCAGAGTTCGGAAGTGAGCATGAGTCAATCACTCCTGCATACGTTGGTGCATCAGGAAAAACCTCATTCTCAAATCGGATCCAATGTGATCCAATTTGCGTCAATCTGCGAGGATACGATGGATTCACCAATTCGATTAATTATTTTAGTCCTTTGCAAATTTTCGCCAATCGGATCTCAATTTGCAACAATCAGAACAGTATTTTCAGGCCATTGTCCAATTGTTTCCAATGCCATCAAGCAAATATCATTGAATCTCGAATCTAGAAAATACAAACTAATGACCAGTACTATTCATCATTCCTCTGCCATACCCTCAATATCGAGGAACATGAGACTCTCGGCTGCGCCAGGTTCCTCAGTCTTGCGCTTCGACCCACTACAACATCTCCATCAGGTTGGTCAGACCTGTATCCTCGGCATCAGACTCGGACTCCATGGCGCTGTGCTGATCAGTAGTGGTAGAATGTGCTCGTGTGATGTCCTGTTTATGTACTAAACATCAGTAAGTAGTAGCAGAATGGGTTTGTTCACATACCGTCGTCATGTGCAACAAGTTGAGGCCGCTATGAGACAACTCAGAGATGTCATGTTGTCCAACAAAAAAATGGACTGGGCCTTCGTACATGTGAACATTCAGCCAGCCTAAAGCTGGGGCTTGAGCCAGACCAGGCCGCGGCTCGAGTACCTGCAAAGACGGAATATGAATAAACGGCCGAAAATGGTCTGCCAGGCGATACTGAGGAGCCAGCGCGCCTTGAGAACATGCCAGAGGTCAGGAAAACAAATAGAATTGATAGTGAATCGTGATGACATACATGGGAACCATTTGGTGGAACACCGTCGAAAAAACCTTGGGGCACCCGATAAGCAGGCAGATGTCGTTGGACCGGAGGTTGTGTAGCACTGGTCTAGACACATACATAGAGTGCCAACTTGTTGGCCTGGCAGAGCGCGTTCAGTTGTGAAAATATACAATGAGATATGCACATCAACTCACCTTTGAATTCGAAAGTAGGTCGTCGAGGCCAGCTTCTCGAACAATTGTAGTGATACGTACTGTAGAGGTACTGATGGAATATGGTATGTTAACTTGCTCTCGTGTATTGAGAGAGCGACGCACCGCCAATCGCTGCAGACTCGTGGCCACTGAGGCCTTCATATACTACTATGTGAACATTGAATATGAAACGTTCAGTGATCAGTAAAAAAAAATTATCTGATGGCCAGGAAACGTACAGGTGACTCGGACTCATTAACTTCCGCCAGTGCATGATTCTTCCTTCTCAACTCTGCAGCTCGCATGGTCGCAGGTGTGTTGTGCATAGGATAGGGACATAATACTGAATCCGATGGACTTGGACTGTGTGGGGTGAGAGTGAGATCAGAAAGCCTAAATCAGCGTGTGGCGGGTGACTCGGAAACATTGACTCAAAAATTTGACACACTCCGCTATGTCCCGATATACCTGTCAGCCGCAAATCAAATAGTGTAAGTCCGTGATTACCATTAAGAACGTCTGAACCATGGGACACTGAAATCAGATGGTGCGAGGAGCGAGAAAGGCTCATTCATCTGTTGGAAGTCCAACATGTGGCTCACGGCATACATAAATTAGTATAATCATATTATGCTATAACATTATTGGTCGAAAACGACTACTAGCAGTACCAATGTACTAGGGCTCGGTGAGAAATACAGATGTTACTAACATCGGTTATTAACATCAGTTATTAACCGGTTAATAACACCGAGGAAAGTCAGACGCACTTTTAGCCTGTTAATAATTGTTAACAATCATATGTTCAATACAAGAGCCTCCAGCTGCATCAGTCGACTACTAGTCATGTATAATCTAGTATTTAAATCTCGTTTAGAAACACTCTGAGTGACAAATGTCACAATTGTTACAGGTAACAGTCAAGCGTTTAATCACAATACTGTAGAGATACGACACTAGGTTCGTCACAGGTCACAGCCCTTAACGAATCGAATCTATTTGGTGTGACTGTCACATGAATTTTTGGTGGGACGAAGCTAATTTGTGACATATGGGAAAAAAACATAGGTTATGCGCTAATGGGACCAGAAATCATCATACATCGAATTTGCGATGCGTCTACGCTTTCCACGCCCGTAATCAACCTTTGGAACACTATTCGAGCCACTCTCCACATCTTTGGCAGTAATGTCACCCACATCATAGACTTCGGAGTGGTTTGAACACAGAAGTCCGCCATCTGCATCGATACGGCAGTCAGAACGGACGTGTTCACCCCCGGAAGCCATATGATCAAGGAGTGCATCCATTGGCACGTCACTGGCATCGAGGTCATGCTCGCTAGCATCGTCGAAGGGGGATTTGGCTCCGGTAGTATCAGTGGCCTCGTTCTCTGACTCGGAGTTTGTTGCCTGGTCAACGCTGACAGTCTTGTACTGAGCAGTAGCAATCCTCGTCCATCCAGCTGGATCATTCTTCTGAACAAATTCCACTCGTTACCAGTCAGCGCTATGCGAGGCGAATCCATGACAGACTGAAGCAAGTTGCTTGAATCATGAAGCAGCATGTCAGATGGTTGCAAACGGCGTTGCGAGCGGCGAAGCACTACGATCCGCAGGCGAATCTATTTGGGTAAGGTCACAGGTCACCTGGACATTCGAACCTGTAAGACTAAGCGTGACATCGTCATGGGCTGCACGTGACGAACCTAGTGTCGTATCTCTACAGTATTTGCCCAGCTTTTTTCTTATCTGAAAATATGTCCGAGTCACCCACAACGGAGGAGTTTGTCAACACTCTCGACAAGCTTAATATTCTTCTCACCAACCTACCTTCCCAGCTTCCCTTGGCTGATAATTACTATGACTCCCAGTACCCCTCCTTTCTACAATTTTCCTTGGATCCTGATATACTTGAGAAGACTGGTGATGAGGTAGCGACTCTAGGTGAACAACTGGAGTCTGTCTTTGGCTGGAAGGCTCGGACTTCAGGTGATGGTGTTATTCCAATCCTAGAACGTGGAAAAGCAATATGTGCCTTGCATGGTATCTTGATGCTATATTACGAAAAATACCCTACAAACAATGTGCTCAAAAAGTGGGTCCATGACATCACTGCTGGAGCAGAGAAAGTTTACGAGATGTATGGTGTCCCTGTACGTGATCCGGAATTCATTTGCAAATTGCACTGCCCCTAAAACTAATCTGAGTTAAGATTCCAGAGTGCTCACAGACGACCTTTTTAACAATTGTTAACTGCATTTTTGTTGTTAACAATGTTAATAATGTATTTCTAACACGTTAGTAACACAAATGTTAGGAATTGTTATTAACCTGTGTTAACTATGGCCCTGGAGCGCCCGATGTTACTAACAAATGTTAGAAATCGGCCGTGAATTATTCACCGAGCCCTACAATGTACCAAACAATTTTCTCTCAATTTTGCGAATCCTGTGGGCCATTTATCACATGAGTCGAATTGGTTGAATATTTGATCTTATTGTCGCACATTCGAGAAAATGGTACACGATTATCTACCTTCGGTAAAATCTGATCGAATTTTCGCTTATATTAAAAGGGGGTTTTTCCTGATGTGACGTGTCACATAAAAGGTTGTAAAATGCTCAATGTTAATAGAATCAATTATATATATCGGAATACAACAACAACCAAGCACCGGAACAGAGCGTAACCTGGTCTGGCCATATCTAAAACAACGACAACATCGAGCGGCACTTAAGATCGACAAGTAAAAGTTGACACTTGATTCATATCTATCTAACATCTCCATTAATCAACTATCGCAAAAACATCATCGTGAAGTGGGGCTAAATGTATCGAGTTTAGCAAATGCAAGGATGGATGGTAAAGACTAAGAACTCACACATCTCGGCAACTCGACCAGCGTGTTCCATGTGCCATGCGACTCAAATCAAGCTCGGCACCTCTTGGGATCACCCATGAAGTCCAAGGAGTACAAATTGCATACTGGGAAGCGGGAGGTATCCAGAAAAGGAGCCGACAATTGGGTCCCATCACCCATCCATCAGCCTGCAGCGAGAGAAGGGTCGAATTGGAATCATGATGAGAGATACCCTCAAGGAGGTCAGCAGAGTTGCACAGCGCGCGTTCGGACTTGAAGTCAGATGAAAAGGAAATGAATTCGCGGTTCCAAGTAATGGGTGACACGATGGGAAGCTCCTGTGTGTGAGGGGTGGTGCAGCTTGTATGCAGAGGGAATGAGGATGAATTTGCCTCTGTGTTCTCCTGACATGTCTGTCCAGATGCTGCATCCCACAGCCAGATGGTCTTATCCCTCGAACTAGATGCGATGTGAGTACCATCCGGTGAAAATGAGACTGACAAAACGAGTAGAGTGTGCCCCTGCAAGGGCTCACCCAATGGCTGTCCCGTCGCTGCATCCCATAGCCGCACAGTGTTATCCTGCAAACCAGACGCGATGCAAGTACCATCTGGTGAGAACGAGACTGAGCAAACGGGTCGAGTGTGCCCCTGCAAGGGATTACCCAATGGCTGTCCCGTCGCTGGATCCCACAGCCGCAGTGTTATCATGCGAACCAGATGCGATGCGAGTACCATCCGGTGAGAACGAGACTGAGTAAATGATTCCAGTGTGCCCCTGCAGGGGCTCACCCAATGGCTGTCCAGTCGTTGCATCCCACAGCCGCACAGTGTTATCCGCCGAACCAGACGCGATGCGAGTACCATCCGGTGAGAACAAGACTGACCAAACGGGTAGAGCGTGCCCTTGCAAGGGCTCACCCAATGGCTGTCCCGTCACTGCATCCCACAGCCGCACAGTGTTATCCGCCGAACCAGACGCGATGCGAGTACCATCCAGTGAAAATGAGACTGACAAAACGGGTAGAGTGTGCCCCTGCAAGGGCTCACCCAATGGCTGTCCTGTCGCTGAATCCCACAACTGCACAGTCTTATCATACAACAAGTTTTCCCGCTCCCCAGGATTGTGGTTCACGACAACATTGAAACAGTCCATTGAAGATGAGCCGAGCTCGGGCTCCTTGATGTATCCGCACGCAAGACGTGCCCACTCAAAGAGTCCATCGGCTTTTGCAGCGAGTGTCACAAGATGATTGTCCTGAAATTCTGGCAGTTCTTTCAGCTCTCTAGATATGAAGGTGTGAATGTCGCGCTCCGCGACTTCTGATGGAATATTGTCCATGGACAACCGTAGAATATGATCAACACCTTCAAACTCCTTTTCGATATCATGAAGCGGGCGAGAGGTGACGAGAATCCGAAAGTTGGAAGGAAGTTCAGTGATTTGGGGGAGTCCTTTGTCCTGAAGTCTACCGGAGAGTATCCGGAGGAGGCTACGCCGCGTCTCCACTCCACCACTCTCATCCAGTGCTTCGATAACTATCAAGACGGGCCCTACACTTGACGCAGAGAACTTCTTTAGCGGTTTCATCAGAAGCTCGCGCCACTGCTGGATAATGTCTGTCGTGTTCTTGAGCGAGTTTTCATTCTTGACTGCATCCACTAACGCTCGTTTCATCCCAGGATCACGGTCAGCAAGGTCGCGTGCAACTGTGGAGAAAATCTTTTCATGGCGACGGTCTGCTTCTCTTTGCCGATCGAAACAAAAACATGAGCCGAGACCTCCCATTTCCTTAAACCAGTTGGCAATTGTGTGGGCGATGGCTGATTTACCCTTGCCAGCAGGGCCAGATAGCCACATTACATGCGGAACAGGATCTCTGCTGTTGTTGATCCACTCGGTGATTTGAGAGAGAATGTCCGTGCGAGTACCTGATAGGCATTGCTTCGCAGTATCTAATCCGGCGCCCCCTGCATAAAGCATGCCGCTAAGATTGAGTGTTTCACCTTTGAGGGTATGAGTACGTTTAAAATCACAAGCATGTATGAATCCTCACCCGCAGAGTGGACAAAGATAGCTACGTCCCGATGAACTTGATCCCGAAATTGCTGCATAAGCCCATCCAGGGCTTTGCTGTACCGTGCGATGATATCATCCGTTTCTGCAATGATGTTTTTACCGACTCTCTTCCCTATTATCATAGCAAGTATAAGAGTCATGTGCGAATACGATAGTTGCGACTCACAGAAGCTCTTCGTCTCCGAGTATTCCCTGATGAAACAGGCACATTCGAGAGTCTGCTGAGCAATCTTTCCGATGACATCATGCATTGATTTAACCTTGGAAAGATTATCGTCTTGGGCAATGAAGCCATAGACTTCATCTAATTTCTGGAGAAGGCGATGTACTGATTCGTCGCGTTCTGCTTGAGCAAGAATAATCTGCATGTAACCATAGCTTCTGAGAGGAGGCAGATCTCTGAGCAACATAGAACGCACTTTAGCTGCAACAGAAAGTACGCCCAACGCCATCTTTGCATATGGATGCACCTACAACTTGATTAGTTCGCTACCAACGAAGGAGAATGGCCCCTACATCTGCAATCTTCTCGATGGCAGTGTCGAAAATTTTCAGGGGTTGGAGGTATGCGGTGTTGACATCATCTGCAGCAGTGAGACTTGCTGGGGCATTGTTGGCAGTGGATGTCACAGATAGCGCATGTCCCCCAAGTGTTTTCACGTGTTCTGAGGCCTCGTGAGCACCCTGAAGTTCAGCATGAACTGATATGAAAGTAGGAGTTTCCTCCACGCCAGAGAGGGTGTCAAGAACCTGTACGACCAACAAAATTTAGAGATGACAACCATATAATTTGATGCAGGTACCTTCGAAGCAGATTCTCCAGATGTACCTTGGTTAACGCAGTCACTGGGGATTTCAGCTGTGGGAAGCTTGTCGTCGGTCAAAGGGTGTGGATGTGACGTGTCCTGGGCGCCTCTGATGAAAAAGTTGATCTGGGATTACGATTTCAAGGACCTACCTCGATGTTCTGATTCGATGGGACGTCTTGAAGGTCGACATTCTGGATCTCAGGAATGTGGTTGCGAGACCGCTTGAAGAGTTTCTGAACAATGTCAGCCATATTCAAAACGAGGACCGAAACAATTCAGTAGTCTACTCACAGAAATTTTCTTGGTGATGTGTTTCGCACATTTCCGCATGGCCTGTTGGACCCGACTAAGGGGTGAGCTCTGGAGTAAGAAAGCATCAGAGGCAGCAATGGAATTCATGAGCACTCATCCACAGTTAGTGAGCCCATGAGATGACATACCGAGCTTTTACGAACGGTTGCTTCGCAGGTTTTCGGAGGATATGACCTATTATAATAATCTTCACTGAACACGAGTGGTGAATTAGTGTGAGCGAAGTGGAGATGCAAGAAGTATGGGAGAAGGGAGAGGATTCTGGTACGAGCTAAATACCCTTGGGCACAAGTTTTGAAGCATGGCCAGCGCGTTTACTTGATTCTTGAACCGCTAACCATAATTGTCAGCCATGGAGTTCTGAGGCGCAGGGAAAGAGATCTGGACAAGTCTTTGAAAACCCTGTCACAGAAATGACGGAAATTGATCGAAATGTGTAGGGCATGATTTGAACAGTGATAGTGCATACTAGCATGCCACGACTCGGAGGTAAGTATAGACAATGAAGTAATTAATGCAAGCCAGTCTTCTAACTTGTTCAGTCCAGGTTCAGAGTGGGTACTACTTACATCAATTATTTGAGTCTTGTCATAGATCCAGCCTGTGACCAGTTGACCACTAACGACAACGTTATGGTTCTGGTTCATTTCGGAGGTACGGCCCGGTTGATGCTACTAAGTTATTAGTAAGCATTTGTCAATGCTGTCACTTGATCGACGACTTCAACGTCATCCACATTCAGATCTGCGGATATCAGCTTCGATATAGTCTGCATATACCCTGTACCCATAGAAGTGTTTGTGCAGCATGCACACACTATATGACCACTTCAAGTCAAGATGCTCGGTTCCGGGGCGTCTTAGCCCAGCTGCCCACCCCATCACTGACAGTCAGACGCATGCCAGTGGTAGATAACAAAGCCCTGTCTCAGTTTGTCGGTTCATAGAATGTCCCCTTTACCACTCACACCTGGCAGATTTAGCTTGACCCCCCTTCTTCAGGCCACCAAAATGTGTCTGCCTACCCTCCAGACTTCCGTACTCCACATGTCTGCATTCATGTGAATCGACTAACCATATCCTCGCAGCTAACACCTGTCGATATTGGCTATTCCTCTTTCAAGCGTCTGTATAGACCCTCCTGAGTAGTGAGTGTGACTTATTGTCGTTGCTTCAGAGCTCGG